AGTTCAACTCTCTCAACTTGCCGTAGTTATTTACGAGCCTAATGGGCGATCTGGCAAGCGCTAGTTTGTTGCCTCTGAACTTGCCGTAGCGCAAAGATGTCAGCCTCCATGGCTGGGAGACCCGCTCCTATGTAATTATAAATAACGAATTCTAAGGCAACGCAAATATTATGGTTAAAAGGCTGAGCTCATAGGTGATGATAAATAACATAGTTATGTATAATATATTACATTTCTGACTTTATATCCCTGTAATTATTACACACTGTAGCTTTAAGGTGACGGATCGCTGTGTGAGAATTTCAAACTAGGGCTGCAACTAACGATTATTTTGCAAATCGATTAATCTGTCGATTATTTTTTCGCTTAATTGCAATATAATAATAATAATAATAATAATAATAATAATAATAATAATAATAATTTTGGGAATAATTTCTGCTCAAAGTGTGTTCCTCTGTCAGCTAAAGGCATATTTTAGAGTCTCGTTATTCCAGTTTACAATTAATTGATTTTTAAATTATTTGACCATTATTTCATTTATCAATTAATTATGATTAATTCAGTTATTTCAGCTCTATTTAAAACCTTTGCATATTGTTTTATAAAATTCCCCACATCATCACCTTGACCTTCATATCGCCGTTTCTTCACCAATGTTTTCTAACAAACCTCTGTTTAATTTTTTTTGAAAAGCCTAATTTATAACGACATCAAACCACATAGTTAGAATAATAAAAGCAAATAGCAGCGATAATGTCGGGTTCTCATAGCAAATCAGGCTGAAACTACTTCTTGCAACACTTAAAAAAATAAAAAATAAAAATAGCCACGTATCATTTCCTTCCACTTCAGTTTGGTTGTTTTTATGAGATCAAGGTTAAAACTTAGATCCTTTATAGAATTTATTTTATGTATACATTAATAAATATTTTAATCAAGTTTTAATCTCATGTGTTATTTAAAGATAATCCTTTAAATAACAGGAACAGCTGCTAAGGTACTTTGTCTTAAATGAAAAGTCTGGTCATATTCAGAATTCATCCATTTTCTGTCCTGTTCATCCCTGCTGGGGCCACTAGGGGCGCTGGTGTCTATCTCCAGCTGTCTACAGGTGAGAGGCAGGTCCAGCCTGGACAGGTTTCCAGTCCATCGCAACACAGAGACACAACCATTCACACACACACACACACCTAAGGAGGATTTAGAGAAACCAATTAACCTAACAGTGTTTCTGGACTGTGGGAGGAAGCTGGAGTACCCAGAGAGAACCCACGCATGCTCAGGGAGAACCAACTCCATACAGAAAGAGCCTGGGCCAGGAATCGAACTCAGCACATTCTTGCTGCAAGGCAGCAGTGCTACCCACTGCTCCACCTATCAACACATTCAGAATTCAAACTTCTGAAAGTTCTTTAAATCTGAAATGATTCCATCCTGTTCAATAAATGATCAGTGTTTT